ACGCGTACGCATCCGTGTGTACGAATGCGCATGCATGTATTAGCTAGACTGGGCTGCCATTCTTGTTGGTTTGCCGGTCTGCTGGGCCGTCGACGGAGCTCTCGACCACACGCGTGCATGTTTGAGACTTTAATTAATTTATTGGCTTGCTCTCTATAGCTCAGTACATGCACACACATCTCTACTACTTAAAAAATTAAAAAATAAGAGGGGTTTCCATCGTCCGTCAAAAATCCGAGCGAAAAAAAACCAAGTTTGTCCGATAAAAAAACCGGGCGAAAAAAGTGCAAAAAAAAAAGTTAAACCAAATATGTCCGATCTAGAAAAAAGGGTGAAAAAAACCAGGCGAAAAAAAAACCAAAATTGTCTGATAAAAAAACCGAGCGAACAAAAACGTGCGAAAAAAAAAGAAAAAATAAAATAGCGGTAAAAAAAAGTCCGACTCGGTCTCGTAAAAAAAATAGCGATAAAAATAAAAAAAAAGTCCGACTCCTCGTTGCGATTCCCTCTAAAAACAAAAAAAAAAGTCCGACTCTATATCCGTGTCCCACTCCTCTCGGTTTGAGTCCGAGATACTAGGCACTACTTCTCTCGGTTTGAATCTATACCGTGATATTCCACATATCTTGGTGAAAAAAAAGTTGATGTGCCGGATTAAAGATTTGTTTACAAAAACAGAACCTACATGTCGAGAGCATTCCATTTTTATATAATTTTAATTTTTGGGTTTATACATTTGCATTTGAGTCCCTATAATTTTTATATTTACATTTGAGTCCCTATAATCTTACAATAAGGTGCATTTGGTCTTTTTTTTAAAAAAAATAATAAATAAAAGGGACAGAACAAAGGAAGAAATGTGCATAAAAAGAAAAAGAAAAGCCACAAAAAAAGAAAATAAACAAAAAACAACAACAACAAAAGTCTATTTCCCCTAAGTGGCAAAAAAAACTGTATATGCAAACGGAAAAAAAATCGGATTCCTATAAAAGGCAAAAAAAAAAAAGTGGTGAAAAAAAAACGCTAGATCCGATTCCTTTAAAAACGGAAAAAAAGTCTGATTCCTATAAAGGCGAAAAAAAATCCGAAAAAACATCTAAAATAGTTCGTCCGATTCCCTAAGAAAGTGGCAAAAAAAAATGGTTCGTAAAAAATAAAAAGCTGGTTCGTATAAAATAAAAAATACACGCGAGAAAAAAAATAGAAAGAGCGAAACAAAGTCCAATTTCTAATCGGTATAAATCTCTTCTCTATCTATAATCTAATCTAACTATTTAAAAATAAAAAATGCACGGGAAAATAAAAACAGTCAAAAAAAACGTGAGAGAAAAAAGTCAGAAAAAAGCGCAAAAGACACGCTGAAAAGGTTTTTCCATCTTCTTAAAAAAATAAAAAAACACGTGAGAAAAATTATTTCCATTGTCGGCAAAAACTTTTTAAAAAAACATGTGAGGAAAAGACTGTCAGAAAAAATGTGCCATTTCTAAAAGAAAATCGCTCTGAAAAAACTGTCAGAAAAAAGCTAAATTGATGGACGCTTGAGTCGGATAGAATCCATTGATTTTTTACCATCTACTACACGGCTTTTATTTCATCATATATTCTCATGTATTGGAAAAAAGCAAAAAATAACATTCAGAAAACAGGCAAAAAAAACCACGCGAGAAAGTAATTGTCAGAAAAAATAGGCAAAAAACACGCGAGAAAAGCAAAACAAAAAAGGGGAGAAAAATATGGTTTTCGTCATCAGTAAAAAAAGGAAAAAAACATGCTATGAAAAAACTGTTAGAAAAAAATGCGCTATTTCTGAAAAATGGTTTGAGAAAATCGAGCAAGAAAAAAAACACTGTTTATAGAAAAAAAAACAAGCCACTCGTTAAAATACAAACATTGTGATTGACATGATTATGCGTGAAAAACGTATATTATCATTAGAATTTTTTCACCCGTTATAACACACGGGCAATTTTGCTAGTATATCCTTATATGTATAGCCGAGCACACATGCATACTTATACAGGCTATGTGGATCAGTACGTCATAGCACATGCATGCATTTGCATGGCCCATGCATGAACCAATATTTAATTAACTGGCTTAATTAGCACATTGACATTGCTAACTAAATCGGTTCCTGAAAATAGCCATTAAAACATGCAATACACGCAATATATATGGTTATATTTTCTAAGTATGTACAAAATACCGTCAAACAATTAGACAGTGCGAAGTTTATATTGATAGAGCGAAAAAAATAGAAGATTACAACCCTGCGAGGTCGTAACCAGGATAACAAAGAAAAAAAATACCACCACCCATACACCGATAGCACCAACACATAGACCATGAAAAAGGCTAGCACCGAAGTAGCCGCCGCTAGGCCAGCAAAGGACTACAATCGGGATCACCCAAAATCAAACCCTTACAACCGACACTGAACACTACTCTTTCCACGTCGTTGGGATTGAGGGAGAGGGTGAGAGAGAAGATGGAACTGCTCTCCCCCTAGGTCATCCGACGTGGCCAACTTGCATAAGCTAGGGCGCCGACACAAGAGAACATGAATCTAGAGCGAGCTTGCACCAGTTGTGTGGAAGGATTCGGCAAGGGGGCCGCCTAAATGATGTCTCCAGGGAGATAAGCGACGGAAGCACTGTTGCCGCCGTCCATCAAGGTTAAAGAGAATTGAGACTAGGTTTAACCCGGCAGTCCAACTAGAGGGGATGGGATGGCACAAGAACGCTGTCAAGAGAGACTGACTCTTGAAACGCCATCGTTGGCGGCTCGGCCAAGGCCGGGCTAGGTTTACTACCGCCGTCCGCCGCCTGCCTATCCATCACGAACGCACCATTGCTTCACCGCCATCCAACCTCCACCGGCGCGTGAGCACCGTTGCACCGGCGCCCCCCCCCCCCCCCCCCCCCCCGCCGACTAGCCTCTGCATGCCGCCCTCGTCACGTTGTACTAGCCTCCGCTACCGACCGCGCCTCCTCGTGCGCTCAACATCGGCCTCTGCCACCGCCCGCTGCGCCAGCCAACCGCTGCCATCTCCCCTGCCTCCCGCCGGCCAACCGTTAACGCAGCCGTCGCCGTCGCTATCCTCCTCGGCGACGGCCACCTCCGCCATCGGCCACAACCGTTGCGCCGCCCCGCGCCAGCACCCAGCCATCGTTGCCGTGAGCTCCGTCACTGTCCTCCTCGGCGTCGGACACCTCCACCGCTGGCCACAGCCCACAGCCATCGTGCCGCCCCCGCGAGCTCTGCCGCCATTAGAGTCATTCGTTCCCGATTTGGCCGTGGGTGGGCCAGATCCGCCTCTAGGGGAACGGGATCCGCCTCTGGCGTGGCTGGATCCGCCATCCCTCCCCGCTGACTGCTTCGGCCGCTGCCACCTACCTGACTTGTGTCGCTCCGCCTCCCACGCCGAGGAGGAGCGCTGCCGCTAGCTCATTCTCCCCACCTCTGCCTTCCTGGTCAGCTGCGCGGTTTTTGGTGGCGGCGAGGCGGCTAGAGGGGGAGGAAGGTGGCGGCGCGCGGTCGGCTAGGGTTTCTCCCCCGAGCCGCCCATGTTAGAGCCATGCGAGGGATATAAAGTACGCAAAAGTTGCAAATGAAGATTTATCTAGCTATGTATTGGTGCGATAAAATGACAATCAAGACTTGAAGAGTACTAGATTGTAGAGAAAGAAGATGATTAATTTGCTCTGTTTCCTAGGCGAAACACCTCCATGGTTAACTGGGTGTCACGGTTTAATTTGATGATGATAATGATGTGCAGCGAGTGTTTTCGCAGCCTTAATTAAACTAGGTTGGTAGGCAAATGTTATTCTTGCAAAATGAATGGGTATCCCATACATCAAAAGAGCAGCCACGGTTCCATCTTAACTTTAGTTTGTTTCTACTTTAATTTTCCCCTTTCTTTATAAAAAAGTAAAGACTAGTTTCAATATATGCTCCCCTTACCGAAAGGATTCGGCATCGATGAATATATGTCCTGCAATTTTAACCTTTTGCAGGAAAGCACTGATGGTTCTATGAAACCATCAGGAGCATAGGGAGTAAGGTTACATTTGCAACAAAGAAGATATACAGATTAGGGCACTCAGATCAATCACCCGTTGTACATGAGTATATCATGTTACAATGCGTACATGTTTGAATTGTTGCGGAGAAAATTTTGATTGTATACCAAACATACCGCAAGCACTAGAATTTGTCTCCGGGTAAAACATGGATTTGTAGTAAAATATCATCGGAAGCTAGAAAATACTGTGTTAAAGTCGCCGCACTTGCAATCCCGACACCTATGTAAGCAGTGGCGTAGCATTTTGTTCGCGATTGGCAAACTTTTACATTTGTTGCTGATGAAAGGACCAAAACACCAGCGGCCACCCGACCTGCTCTGTCAACATTGTGTGTAAGGTTGGGTAAACACCCCTGTTCCCTCCTAAAAAGAACCATGTTTCAGTATCCAGTACTTCCAATTAAGACAACGCTAATATCAATGATAACACATGTGAAGAACCAGCTAATTAAAAATGCAGAGAATTATTACTTTCGACACGGTTATCATAGCCCATGTTTATGTGTCTAGCAAAACAATGCAGGTAGTATCATCCTGGTTTATTGACATTTTATTGATTTGTTTTAATTAAGGGTCATACTTTGCATGGCACATCCTTGGTCTTGGTGAAAATTTTTACACGCCCTCTTTGTTGGGACAGAGGGAGTAATTTACAGAAGGGGATATTACATCCATGTAAACTAGCACAGGAATTGGTGAATGACACCAACTCGTAAGAACCTAAGCAGTAAAATGACATGGATGGTGAACATCTACGATTAGCACGCGTGTGACGCGTCTGCTGCAATCTAGTAAAACCCAAGCAAAATAAACTTATCAAAATAAACAGGAATACCTTACCTCCAGCAAAGTTCTATAAATCAGTACAAGTAGATGGAACATGTTGATGCTTGACAGATCAAGGGCAACAGCAAAGCATACTAATCCAGATTTCCAATCTGATCTCCAAAAGCTCATGTGCATCATCAGAGAGTACAGGAGGGGCTAAGTAGTTGGCACTTGGCACTGCCATAGGAATAAGATACCAAGACAGGTATCGATAACATAACACAGCAGCACTACAGCACATAGTATACACTTATATAGTAAAACATTCACAGGATAATTTCGGTCACAAGTCACCAGTATTGGTCTTCCTCTACAACTGGAAACTTGCGCCAGGATAATTTCTGTCACAAGTCATAACCAGTATTGGTCTTCCTCTACAACTGGAAACTTGCGCCAGTATGGAACATAATACAAAGAATTTCTAGGGAGATCTCCCATCTCACAGAGTTTTCCAGTACGTATGCTGTATGAAAGCACTTTGCTTGATACACGGTCATGAAGGAAAACAATCTCTCTCTCGAGGTCAAAAGACAGCATGCCATAATCTGCAGACCAATCAACACTAAAGGGATCACCATGAACAAGGGTACCCCTTCCAAAGGCATCGATCATGCTAAGAGAGTGCGTCATGCTCCACTGTTGATGACGACTTTCAAGCCTCCAGACATTAAGCCAGCAGCCATCATAGTTTGGCTGCATATAGTGTAAGATGCCGGACGATTCGCCGAGGCAGCCCCATATATAGTTGTTCATGGGACATGAATCCCCAGGAAGCTCAAAGGTCCAACGATGTATCCATGGTTTATACATGTGTGGTGTTTCAATTGCAAAAACACTATGTTCTACAGTCCGTAGATACAGAACACCATGAAGTAGGACATGTGGCATTGAAATCATCATAATTTCAGTTTCAAATGCATCATCGGCAATCCAAGTGAAATCCTCAGAGGAAAATATCTCAACTTCAGTGATGACAAAAACCCCTGAGTGTGGGGATCTCCTCTTCTGGAAGTTAAAGACAAAAAAATGACAGGACGATGATGGATTGAAGGCCAACATAGCAATATAATCAGATCCATTTACTCTAGGGCATGTGTCAGGAAGTGCAATCCACTCTTGTGTTGCTGGGTTGCACACAATGAAGTGAGAAGAATCGGGTGAATCAGATTTACTCCCATGTGTAAAAAGGATTAAACCATTGGAGCAATCTACAAGTTTTAGATTCTCATGGTGTGGCATAAAGCTAAGAGATGTGCCGATTTCACTGTTGCCTGAGGGTAACTTTGCAATCTGGATCGAACTGTTATTACTGTCTTGGTACAAAAGACCTGCAGGCCTTCTGGGCAGCTTCGTGCAAAAGTATTGATCTGAGAAGAGTGATGCCCAGGACTTGCAGACACACTTGAAGCAGCAAACTGACTTCAAAGGCAACCGAGATAGGATATCGACTACAAGATCATCAGTTAGAGTACACGTGCACTTGCTTTTCTTGGAATTCATCTCGCCTTTCAGCTTGCATAGATGGAAAGTTCACTTCATCAGAAAAACAATAAATAAGAAGGCAACTTGTAGTAACAACAGAAATTCTTCACCAGATGAATAACTATCTGAAGTCTGGACACTTCTGTGTCAGCAAAAAATTTGAACAATGGCTTAATTTATAGATAATTTATATAGTACAGCAGGAAGGTTTATATGGTAAGGTAAGACTACAATGTTGCCATGGCAAACTCGATATCCAGTTGAACCAAAACATTGGATTATTACTTTCAGATTAAAACACCAGATATAAAGCAAACAGAAAATTATCACCCCCTCTGTTTTTCTAATAAATGACACCACATGTTTGAACATACGTTTTGCCATTTGTCTTATTCAAATTCGTTTTGCAAATATGAAAAATATAATCATGCTCGAAGGACCTATAATAATAAAAAATCACAATAAAATAATTAATAATTATGTATTTTTTTTAATAATACGAATGGTCATAACATATATGTTATGTATTAAAAAAACAGAGCGAGTATTTCTTATCTGAAGTTCTGCCCACCATTCCGGTCTATCACTCTAGCCCTATGGCATTGGCACCCCATCCATCCCAAACCCCTTCCCAGCCCCACAAACCCAAACAAGGCTGGCACGGTTTCATCTTCACACACATAAAGTCAGAAATCCGATTGCTATTGCAAAAACTACTCTGACTGTTACCGAATCCCTCGAAATAAGGAAGAACAGATGACTTTAATATCTGTAAAATCGTCGAAGTAAACGGGATCAATTCTAATCGAGAGCAGGCGCTGATTTTTTCTTTCCTTGAACGATTTACTCCTCCTAGTAACCGATCATGTTGCCTCAGATCCAAACACCCAAACACGAATCACCACGGGTCCATGAGGTATTGTTCCCCAAAAGGAATCCCCCAAATTTACAAATCGCGATCAGTTGGTACAAGAAGAAATCAATCAAGCATTAATCGCAGCAAACAAAACAAGAGGGCAGCGATCTGGAAATACCGTTGAATTAATCGCAGTGTAGGCCGACGCGACCTGGCGACACGCGGCGCCGCGAACAGATTCCGTCCACAGGACTTCTCCTCTACCTGTCGATGAACTATGGAGAGAGAGCCAGAGAGGTAGGGTTTGTTTTGGGCTCATATATAATCGTAATCGGCATCCCGCGGGCGTAACCGGATCGGATACGTCCAGCGATCGGCGCGGCTACAGGACCGACAGGGAGAAGGCACGCGGCTAGCTAGCTCACCGGCCGCGGAGAGGAAGGGGATAGCGGAGGAGGCATATGGAACCAACCGTGGCTCACCTCGCCGGCGGCGGAGAGGAAGGGGATAGGATTTTTTCGTTTTTAGATTTTTTTTTTTAATATTTACAGAAATAATCAATCGACGAAAAAAATTGCAGAAATAGCCCCTGCCGCCCAAATGGTGGGCGGCAAGCTGACGTGGCAGACGGTGGGTCGAGCGCGCCGTCTGCCGCCGTCGGCCAAAATTGCAATTAGCTCCTTGCCGCCCTCTGTATGGGCGGCAAGGGCCTAATCGCAATTTTGGCCGCCCATAAAGAGCTTGCGGCCGTACTTTTTCATCTGGGTCCCTTGCCGCCCCATTCATCTGGGTCCCTTGCCGCCCCACCATCTGGTCCCTTGCCGCCCCACCGCCCTCTATTGGGGCGGTAAGGGACCCAGATGAAAAAAGTACGGCCAAAAGATTTTTCTATGTTATGTTAATAATAAATAAAGAAGTATTTATTGGTAAAATTTGTTAATATTGTTATAAAAATGTATTGAAGTTGGTTGTTGCGCAATTTCATATGTTAAGTGAGGTATTATTTTGTACCTTATTCGACGTATTAGTACTCGGATAGTTTATATAGGCCTATCGCAGTCTGGGTCGTAGAAACATTATATGGACTTAAACAAGGAGAATTATGTAACATGAAGAAATAGTAGTACAATTTGAACATGATACAACTATTTGCATTGCGGTTACATAGATGATATTAGATTTGAACTAGGAGGGAGGTAGTGCAATAGTTGAACACAACGACGATGTAGTAATGTGACAAGGAAGCATGACAGTAGAAATTTCAATATGCCAAGTTGTCCGATAATAGCTAACCCCTACGTGAGGATCCCTCTCCTCTCTCAAACCGCGCTTTAGTAACCCTGTATTGCTTTGGTAGTTCAAGCTGCACAACACGGCTAGGTGGAGTTAGAACCCTTATGGTGTCTATCCATTCTCTGTATTGACATCTCCTTGGTGGTTCCTGGGAGGAAAGAATAGATGTAAAACAAGCAAAGTTAGTAAATGTTGTGAGAAAATAAGGATTCATGTAATCAAAATATTCTTACCATGAAATCGTCGTAAAAAATATTTGGACAAACAAAGAACCTTCGATCCAATGTTGTAGGATTTATGGAACGAAAAACCTGACAACGATCACCACACCTGCATCTTGGACAGGCTTCCCATGGAGGGAGTGCCGTAGTTAGCACCCGCCAGTCGCTCTGTTGTTCACGACATTGTCGTTCATAAGCCGCTTTTCTCTGTAAGTATTGCTCAGTACTTTCGGATGCGAAATACCAGCGACCTTCTTGTAAACAAGTGGTTAGGTCGAGAACGGGATTTTCTACTCGATGTATGCGCAAGCCGTAGTGCGGGTCTGCCGAATAGAGTAGTGTTACGAAGAATAAAGCGATTGCCCATACGGAATGAATAAGCATATGCAGATAATAAAATACCTCACGGTTATAGTTAGGGCACCTAAAAAAGCACCTTCCTCGAATATCAGGATTCCTCGAAGCCATTAGTTGGCATCGATCACCGCATAGGCAGAGAGGACGTTGGCACCAAGGTGGTAGTAGGTATACACAAGGATCGCTACGCCAGTTTGGATCCTCAACACCCCGGCGTCTAGCCATTGACGAAAGCCGGTGGGATTTGTAATGAAGCAAGTGGGGAAGAGAGTACTGAATGTGACTGAGTTCTGAAAGATTGTGAGGCCTCACTCGTTAAGGCGACTTATGTAGGCGCAAAAAATCGAGTGATACCCCTGACATGTGAACATGGTGGGGTATGGTGGGTACGCCTGATTGGCGCCGAAAGATACATGCATGATCGGCCCCGAAAGTTACATTGGTCGTATGCGCCAAATGGCGGGCAAATACTCGTATCACACGCGAATAAAGGAGGCTGCATCGGTGCGGCAGAAAGTAGTCGTGCATGCGCCGAAAGGTATCGTGCATGCGCCGAAAGGTATCGTGCACATATAACAACAACGTAGTCATTACACAAGCATACAGTACTGGAAAGTGAAGCAAGTAAACAAAAAGAAGACTGCTCTACTGGCCCTGCCCCGCGCCGCGACCACGCTTGGTCCTCCGGGCCTGTGCTCGCACGTGATCCTGGGAGTAGGTGAAACGATCCGGTGGCACAGCACGGGTAGCACGAGTGTCCTGCGGAGGAGTGGCCTGTGCCTGGTCCTGCGTCTGCACCGGCGGTGCGCCTCCTAGCTGTGAGGGGCCGATGACGTCCTCTGTCGAGCCTGAAGCGAAGTCGAAGTCAGTGATGTCGAAGAGCACGGTGGAAGACAAGAAGGGGTCCGACGAGGTCCCAGCATGGTCCAGTGGTGGACCCTGACTCGACGTGCCGGCTGCCTGTGACGCAGACCCTGCAGCCTGGGAGAAGTGGGCGGCCTGCGTCATAGCGAACTGGGCGAAACCTACACATCGACAACGGGACCCTTGTAAGCTAAGACATAAAATGTATGTAAATTGATTGTGGAAGTAATGTTGTTTTTTTAAGTACCTGTGGGGGGCACAACAGAAGGACTAGCCGAGGAAGGCGGGGTGCTGAACGGTGCACGAAACCCTGAAGCAATCGACAAGTGAAACGGCTCACTTATATGTGCGAGGCATGTACAGAAATAGTAATAAAAATACTTACCTCCGTGTGGAGGGGGAGTCGGCCTAGGAACGTGCGCAGCTGGACGGGGACCAGTCGGTACGGGTGGCCGCTGTACAGCTGCGTCTGCCCGAGCAACGTCGTCTGCACGACAGGTGAGCACTCGGCGAATCGAGCGCATCGACTCCACCATCCGCGTGTACGTCGTCAGGTGCTCCTCTACGGGTACCGGAATCCCCGCGTCTAAACGTTGGATCGTCGTTGAACTGTCAACGACAACCCGGTTGATGTCGTCGACCTGCATGGTTAATTTGTTCGTAAATATTCGTAAAATTTGACGAAGAGAAAGACATGAAAACATAAAGGAATGGTGCGATGCAGGGTACTCACAACACGAGCGAAGTCCTGGTCGCGGTGCCTGGCGTAGAGGTCTCTAGTGCTCGCAACGTGGGGCTGCTGCTCCAAGGGAGCGAAGGTAACCCTAGTACGGGTGCGTGGCTGGTACCAGCGTAGGTAGGCCTGGTACGACTCCTCAGTGTGTGGCTCTCCCTCGTGGTCCACGACCTCCTCGGTTGCGAGCAACCAATCCTCAACAAAAGTCGCCAACTTGGCGGGCCAGTCGCCAGCTGACTGCTGACCCTTGCGCGAGTACCTGCGAATTAATGTGTAATATTAGTGTGAAACGACAGATGTTACAAATTATTGTGAACAGTCAGATTTTAATGCAACAACGGAAAGCGTAGTGCAAGATCTTACCGGTGAACAGCAGCTGGGACGGTGGTCGGAAACGGTACTGGAAAGGGCTGACGGAAGCCGAACTGCCGCATCACGCGGAAAGGGGCGTGAGGCTCAACGCAGATGTCGAAGACCATCGGAACCGTAGTCATCCAGTACGCCTGGTCCCTGGTGCAGAGTGTGGACAGACCCAACGGCGCACGAGCCTGGGTAGCCGCGGCACTGTAGGGCTCCCACACGACGTCAGTCGTCAGAAGGCGGTCGAACTCCATAACAAACTCAGGATACGACCGCCTAACCTGGACGTGAGCCCATCGGCGCTGCAATACGAGACGATCGATGTGATGTACAATGAACTTAGTAATTAACTTAACAATACGATAAGATCGATGCAACGTACCTGACGACGGCACCACAGAGTACCCATCGTAGGGTAGTCGACCTCTGGTCGCTCCTCGTACAGTGACTCCTCGTACGCGTGCTGGTCCACCTCAGGGCGGCCGATCGCAATCCTCTCAGCTGCCCAGATAGAAAGAAAGAGAGGGCACCCACCAAAGGTCGCGCTGGGATCCGTCTTCGTGCAAGACTCACAAAGTGCACGGTACAGAGCCGCCAACAACGCGGAACCCCAGCTCCACTAAGGTACCTCGCCTACCGCGGCGTCGGCGATGCTCCTGGCGTAGTGCACGAGTCCCTTGTCGACCGCGTGCCCGTGACCGCCACAGAACATCACCCAGCCAAAAAGCCAGAGCAAATACGCCTCCAAACATCGGCTGTACGAGTACTCGTCGGCCTCCGCCTGTAGCTGCTCAACCTGCAAGCAGTCGATAAAATGTTAGGCACCTTAACTGCGGACTAAATATGTAATACGATTGTCATTTCGGTACAAAAACACTCACGGTGAACTGAAGCAGCCACCTCTTCGTAGGTCCGGTGTTGCGGTGGTGTGCCAACGGCTCGAGCGGGAGGTGCGGTGCGCGCTGTACTAGTGCGAAACGTGCCGTCAGATCGTCCTGCCAGTCCACAGCCGTGGTCACTGGGCCAACAGCGTCTCCCGCGAGCGGTAGCCCCAACAAGTACGATACGTCCTGTAGGGTAGGGGCTACCTCACCGCACGGCAAGTGAAAAGTGTGCGTCTCTGGCCTCCATCGATCAACCAAAGCTGCTACGAGGGACCTGTCCACAGTCCATCGTCTGGCCGGGTCCGCGTCACCGGCCGCAGCCTCCACCAGCCGACACATCGGTAGGAGGCCGGCCTCACGTAGCTTGCAATAACAAATTAATATGTCATTATAAAAAATATTACAGTGCAACTAACTTATAGTAAAACACTGTTCGTACCTCTCGACAAAGGAGTCGTGAACCGTGAGTAGCTCACCGCACGTCCGTGCCCGGAACGTCCCAAGCTGAGCCCCCTGCACCGCAGTAAGGTGAGACCGGTGTCGGTGATCTATCGCCGGGTCCAACAACTGAGGTGTATCCTGACGTGCCATCTCTGAAAAATATAGTGTTTCGTGTTAGAACAATTCAAAAAATAGTAATGTAAAACAAAAGATAACTTGCAAAATTATGAAATAGTAATAAAATCATACGTGTTAATTATGTACAACAAGAGTACATGCTATTTAAATATAGTAAACGTTACTAATGGTACATAACGATGACGTGCAATTTAACATATATGTAGAGTTCAATAATATAACATAACATTACGTGTCGAAGTCCGACATA